CATTGCATGTAATTTCCATGCCACTCATCTATACTTGATCTATGTCATTGAATGCATTGATATGGTGAGCATGAAAGGCTTAGTCACGCATATATATGGCGAAAGTCGTCATGGTCTCATTTTAGTATAGGAGATGGACCAGATTGAAACTAAGGAGAAGTCTAAAGAAATTAGCATAAGAAGTGTACACATAAGGAATTCTTCAATATAATTGTTTCAGTTCTCATGTGTAGCCCAAGTGGAGATTGTTAGGTTTTAATCTCTATTAAGTGGGCTTACATATTCAGTGAAACAATTGCATTGATGGRCYATCTTGTAAGTGGGCTAAATCAAGTGATTCATTTATGCAAAGCCCGTAGACTTCAACAAAAGGGTATGGGGCTTAATGAGTGGATACCACATTTTGGCCCATATAGGCTTAATGGGATCCTATTAGGTCAAAATATAAAGGCTCCGAGGTTATGGTTCCCAATATGTTAAATCATCTAGCCGCACTCCTTGCTCTACCCCATTAGAGTCAAAGAACTGAGAAAAACCTAAGGAAGAAGGAAGATTTAACTGAGGAAAACCACACCAGTCGACAAAAGCATTGATTCATCACTCGATCCGAAAGGGTTTCAACTACTACGATGGATACAAGTATTTATATTCGAACCTCCTTGATAACTGCAACATGATATACTTTGGGGTGCAACATGGCTTCTTGTTCTTCGTGTATTGTATGGTATTGGTATGATTCTGCATGATTAGGATTGCTTTCTCCCCCTTTATTTATCTTACAAGTGGTATCAGAGCCTTATATCGTGTTGGATTATTAATGGAAAATTTTAATATAAATTAACAGGGTTGGAATATGATGCCAAAAAGACATGATACGAAAAAACATACAACCAATCAACCAGGATGATAAAGGTTGTAACCAATTTGGTGGGTTTTCATCAAAATCCATGGGAGGTTGTGATTGGTCAAATCGTTTTTGTATTTTCAACATTATAGATTTTTCCTATCTAATAATAATAATAATAATAATAATAATAAAAGTTAATACAAAATTATCTAACAATATATAATCCAAAAATAATGCTTGAGTTGGACCTGGTTTGACTTGCTTTATTAGAAATGTGATACCGTTCCTTCTATAGTTCTACCTTAATTTTGCTTAACAAAACTCGTGCATTTTAGAAGCACCAAGTAGTATAATTTAAATTGTTAAATGTCGTTGCTAATACATTTGTCATTACAAATTTGTTAATTATGGAAAAAAAGAGTCTGATATACATTTTTTTAGTTTGTTTGCAAATTCTCTTGCGTGACAATTCTGTTAGATTGCTTGCGTTGAATGGGCTGGGTTTCATCCTTTAACGTGCTTTGCAAAGCTCGAAATTGATAAAAAAAAGGTCTTACGACCTAATAATAATAAAGGCAAATGGCAAATTAGCACCGGATAGTCACACTTTAGTACCTGAACTTTAAAATGTACCACGAAATCTCAAAATCTTTCACTTTTGGCCCAACTGTTAGCATTCTATCCATTATTTGACAGTTGACACGGTGAATAGAGTCCCAAAATTGCTGCCAATGCACCTCTCCTTCAAGATGCCCTGATGGCACTTGACAATTTTGGACGAAAGGAGTGAGTGTGAGTAGTCCCCTCAATATAGACGACATGTGGAAGAAATCAATTCGTCAATTCTATAAACGTACGTATTCGATTGTTTATGATGACAAAGGACAATTTGATAATTTTACTATCAATTGGCAATTTTCAAGAATTTAAATGCTGTATTCACACGTTTTAAAGGGGGCTGGCTGGCAAGTTTAAAAAGTAAAAGCGTAGTTAATGATGGGCTCAAAAAAATAAATTCTTTTTGTTTGGACATTGGAGGCCTAAACTAAAGATGGATTGGGCTCAATAATCAATATAACCGCTATGGGAAGCGAATGCTTGAATATGAAGAAAAGAAAGTGCTTACTTGTCGTATGAACCCAGTCCAAGTTCTTGTCTTTGCTAAACTTCCACGCTCAACTTGATTCTTTAACTCTTTTTCTTGCAACCTTACTTTGATGTAAGCCCAAGTGTGTGTGAGGTTTATCAATCCATGGGGACTGGGGAGCCAAGTTTCCAACTAACTCAATCTTCTGTTCCAAGCATTCATTCAGTTAATACGCAAAAATATTACGGAACATGGGAAGCCTCTTAAGCTTGGAACTTAACAACTTACAACTAAACTCCTGCACTCTGACTCTGTCATGGAAAATGAAATCCAAAGGTCAGAGATCGAAAATCCTTCCCCCAAGTTGCCATGTGGCTGGCCACACATCATGTCCTATTTTCTTTTGTAAAGTGTTGAAATTAAGAAAAGATTGACACAGAGAAATCAGCAGAGGAAATTTCCTCTGGGATGGATGGAACTGCAACTGTATTGTACACGTGGACCAATTGTTGTGTTTCAAGAACAGGACCCACCAACTCTTGTCCATATAATAATCAAACTCCCTTTGAGTGGACACATGACATATTTTATGGGCCTAGACACGTCCCGTGTTCCAGGCCCAATGCAACCATTTTGTAGTGAGGGCATTCCTTTCAAAAGCAGGAACTTTATGAAAATAAACCCAACTTCTAACTTCTAAACCCCACCCATTCCGTCGTTCCCGTCGGCGTCTCTCTGTGACTGTGCGTTTGTTCATTCTTCAGTTCAGCCACGGTCGTCTTCTCCGCTTCCTTCTTTGTTCTCACCAGTTACCACCACCAGAAAACATCTAAACAATACCTTATTTTTCTTTTCCTTGTTCTGACAAGGTAATAAAAAAAAGTAAGAGAAATGGCACAGATGGAAGCTCCACCGAAACCTTCTCCCCAAATTTCCGAAATGTTTCAGAAGTTCGCTTTGGCCTTCAAGACCAAAACCCTCGAATTCTTTGCCGAACAAGAAGATGATGATGATGATGCCGACCCCATCTCCCTTCTCGACTCCACTGAACAAGTCATCACCGACCAGCGGGTCGTCGTCATCAAACCCGACCAACTCATCAAACCAACTCCATCCTCCCAAGTACACTCCCAACAGCTACTACAAAAAGAGCGAGATCGTTACCACCCCAACCATCTGCAAATTCTCCAATCCTTAACCTCCTCCCTCTTCGCCACTATTTCCTCCTTCGAGGCTTCTTACTTGCAACTACAGACTGCTCATGCTCCTTTTGATGCCGAAAAGATAAAGGCGGCCGATCAAGCTGCGGTCTCCCACCTCCAGAGGCTATCTGAGATCAAACAATCTTATAGAAATTTCCGCAACAACTCTACCGTAGCCCCTAGTTTCCCTTTAGCCTTGTCTCACTTGGAAGCTCAGGTACAGGAGAACCAGACCATGCTCCGTACTTTGGAGATGGTTGTCAACAGGTTGCAGTCCGATATCGATCTCAAAGATGCTGAGGTTTCCATGATGAAGCAGAAATTGGGAGAAATTCAGAATTTCAATCTCAGGTTATCTAATTCCAACTCCACTTCGACTTCGAATCTTGCTGCTTCTCTATCGTCAACGTCGTCTTCTTCTTCTTCTCCATCGTCCACGTCGTCTATTCTAATGTCTCCTCGAGTTTTCTATTCTGTGTTACAGGACACTTGCAGAGCAATGCATATTTTTACTAATCTCTTGATTGATTTAATGAAGAAAGCTGGGTGGGATTTAGAGTTGGCTGCGAATTCTGTTCAACCGGACATTGATTATGTGAAGAGAAGGCATAACCGGTATGCATTTTTGTCCTACGTTTGTTTAGGAATGTTTGATGGTTTCCATTTGGAAGATTTTGGTTTGGGAGGAGACGAAAGTGAGTGCAATGGTGTCGATTTGAGTGTTCGGAGGGAGAATTCTTTAAGGCAATTTGTCGAGCAAAGTGCGGGTAACGAAATGGAGCTTCTAAATAGGAATTCAAGATGTGATTTCGCCAGATTTTGTGAGAATAAGTACCAGAAGCTCATTCACCCCACCATGGAATCCTCCCTTTTTAGAAACTTGGAAAAGAACGAACTTGTGTTGAGTTCTTGGAGGTCTTCCACCGCTTTCTACAACTTGTTTGTAAAAATGTCTAGTTCTCTATGGATGTTGCATAATTTGGCATTCTCTTTTGATCCACCAGTTGAGATATTTCAGGTGGAGAGAGGGGTCAATTTTTCAATGGTTTACATGGAAAATGTAACGCAAAGAGGTGCATTATGGGATAAAACCAAAGCCAAGGTGGGTTTCACAGTTATTCCAGGATTTAGAATTGGGAGGACGGTCATTCAGTCTCAGGTGTATCTAACTGGTATCGAGTGTTCGGACTGAGTTTTTCCTTGTTGATTTGTTGTACAGAGTAGGACAAAAAAAAGGAATGAGAAATCAGGCAAATACGGCTGTTCTCCCAATCATCAGGATTGGATTGGACTGGTGGAAAAGACTAAATGGCGAAAGTAATTGGATAGATGGAACAAACTTGATTTATGAGGAGCAACTAGATCTCATTTGGTCTTTCCATGCAGTAAGATCTTGGATGAGCTTGGCTTGTCTATCCTAAGACTGTTACCCTTCTGTGCTGAATTCTAGAGGCACCTTGGCTTTGGTGCAAAAACAAGTTGTTAGATTGGCATCCTGAGGGTACCTCATTTTCAATGTACTATCTCTTGCTCTTCAGTTATCAGTCAATTTTGCTTTCGATTTTTATCACAGTTGTTAAGTAAAGTTCTCTGTCTGAGTCCCTTACCCTTGTTTCATTTGACACTGCCAGTACAACGCTATGGGTCCAATTTCAATGAAATTATTCTTTCTCATTTTTCTTCATAGTTTTCTTGCATCCCCTGTTAAAGCATTTATCCTTGGTGGAGCGCATCAGTTTGCCACCTTTTAACACTAGGAGGAGGCTGTCCAACCCAGTCTCCATATTGATGCTCTACATACACCATTTAACTAAGTTATGAGCCAATACATCAGTATCTCTTTTAACATGGGCAATCACCTTGAATTTGAACACTTCGGCCACAATACAAGGATGCCCACCTCTACTACCAGAAGTAAAGCCTTCATTTCTGTTGCTTCTGCATCAATCACTTCAATAGCATATGATCTTGCAATGAGAAATTTCCCCAAATTATCAGTCGCAACACATGCCGCTGCTCCCTGCCCATGATGCATGAAATGCACCATCAAACCATATAAAGATTGCCCATGATGAACTAAGTCTGCAACATGACTTTCTACAGGAGGCTCACCCCAAAATTGCAGTTCATGCATAGATCGACGAATGCATGTTACAACCTCCATCGGTTGAAATATACATTTATTTTTTGTCAACCAAGAGGTCACTGATACATAGCTTTGGACAGGGTGCAAGACAAAAATAAGTGCTCATCAACAGTCCCCATCTCCCCACAACAGAGACCACAATGTTGATCAACATTTTCTCCTCACCAACTAGTCTTAGTAAACACTAATCCATGCATTAATTTCCAAAGAAAAAGATGTACTTGTAGATAAATTTTAGCTTTCTAAAATTTCACCCACAAACCACACTCCACAGACACCAAAAGACCCCTCATATCTAGCATGGCATAACATGATTTGACAGAGAATTTACCACTCCATTCCTTCACCCCAACTCATTCATCCTCCTGTGTTTGCAGTCGGGTTAAGCTAATCTTCCTGATTGCACTCTGAATAGCAGCAGGAAATAGAGCACCCAACAGAGCTACATTCCACTCTCGAGCTTGGGTAATCAGAACACTGACAAACTCTACACCCAGATGCTTAATGCCTCCGAGAATTGTCCAACCGAAATCCATTTAGGTCAAGGATCCACAGGTCTCCCCATACTCTTATGGTCCTCCCATCCCCAATACGTCTACAACTCTTCACTTAGAGTAGGTCTAATTTTACAGACTCCTTTCCAGAACCAAGAGGCAGAGACCCTTACTAGTACATCTAAGAAGGAATTATGTTTTCCGTTGAAGCAACTTAACCCAATCTGCATCTTCTTCACAAAGAATTATCCACCCAATCTTGCATATATAGTAAAGCATCATTAATGTATTTCAACCTTCGAATACCTAACCTGCCAACATGTCTAGGGATGCAATCTCTCTTCCACACCAATTCCCTACCCATAAGTTTTATTCTCATGACAGAAGATGAGAAGAACCCTTTCCTCAATTTTTCAATACTGTCACAAGTAGCCACTGGTAACCGACCTGATGTATGATGGTAGGGCTGAAACTACACTCTTCTTAAGGACTGTGTTACTCATTTATTCATAAGGACTATGTCACTCTTCATAAGGCTGAAACTACACTTTATGAACTAGATTTCCATCCACTTAATCTTGATTATATTCGTTCCACCACCTCCTTGTATACCATTTGCTTATTTCTACCAAGAAACAGTGGCATATCCAAATATTTCTCCCTTCTACCCAGTCTTCCTACCTTCAGGCTCCTTGCAATTATTCCGCAATATCATCCAGAGGGTATGTTTTAAATAAAATAAATCCATGATTTGCCATACATGTCAATAGAATTGATGAATGGCGTTTAATAGGCAAAAATCTGATTATGGCTTTATTCTATATTAGTTCAAGCTTAGTTTGGTGTGATGGGTCTTGTTTGAAACAGTTATCAATTGAACAACAATACATAAAGCTGTTGTTATCCAGTCTTCAACACAGGCATTTACAAAGAGGTACAACCAAATAACTCCTACCCAATAACCATGTATTATTCGCTATTTCTTGCTTCTTTCTTTATCCTTCTTCGTGGAATGTGGTTTACATGGGAAGGAACCACTTTTGCAGTGTGTTTCCTGGAAGGTTGAAGCAGATGATGTAAGGATCGGAAATTCTTTTGGGAGCATCCTCCTAAACAAATGCCATCATTGTGTAATGGAAAAAGCTTCAGTGGATGATGAATAAAAATCCATTGAGCATTAATATTAAGGGAAAATTCTCGATTAGTACTTGTACATTGTGCCTAGTGCCACTTTGGTCCCAAATTTTAAAATACGATGATTCAGTATCCGAATTTTCACAATGTGACAATCCAATACCTACCATTAACTAGCTGTTAATCAGCCGTTAAGTGATATTTTAAAAGGACACATATACCTTTGGAGTGTCATCTAATTTTCTTTATTAATCATCTAAACATTGGCAAAAAATTAACAGTTCTAAATCCTTGCTTCTTCCATTCAAGAAAGTTGGGGTTAAATCTGAGTGGGTATTCAGATGACTCCAACTTTCTTGAATAGAAGAGGCAACGATTTGGGACTATTAATTTTTTTGTCAATGTTTGAAAAAAAAATTAGATGACACTCAAAGGACATTTATGTTTTTTTAAAATGTCACTTAACGACCGATTAACAGTTAATTAACGGCAGGTACTAGATTGTCACGTTTTTGAAAATTTAGATACTGAATTGTTACATTTTAAAATTTGAGGATCAAAATAACACTAAATCCAAAATACAAGAAATTTTCCCTAATATTAATTTCCTCGTTGCTTGGTATCATGGAGGTTTCTGACCATACAAAGGTGTGGCTTAGTTTCTCACTTACTTTTATTTTAGACAATTTACTATTCTGTTTGCAATTTAGTTCGATTAAGCCACGTGACTTTCACGTTTATGCCTTGTAGGGTAAGGAAGGGTTTTACGTTAATACTATCAAACAGCCTGTGCTAAGCACTGCACGCAAGGTAAGCATCAAATGAATGATACCATAATATAAAATATGTCTACTTTGTTTGTTTTTTAATCTGCAACAATAAATTCTTATAAAAATAATTTGTAATAAAACATATTAGTCAAAACCCTTTTGTAGAACTCCAATTCACTTGATAAAGTTGGAGATAAGTTAGCTTCTTGTTGACAAATTACGATTGCAGCGCATTAATTTATTTTTCAAAATTCCCTGGGGGTGCCTGGGGTTGAGGTACAAATAAAAATAGAGGCTCCTTATTAATGTCAATAATTAAAAATAAAGTTACAAAGCTTATGATAATAAATTAGGGGTTTATATTTATGTAGAATCTCATTCAAAATCAAAAAGAAAAAAATCGAGTCTGACTCAAATATGCTACACATGCAAGTCCATTATGCTTTATACGTATAGAGGCATAAATCAGGCCATACTGTACGGGCCCATGGGGCTTTATTTTGCTGTGGGCCGGATTGATCTATGGGTCAAGTCTTGGGCCAGATCAGTTTACGAACTGAGCCATGTCATGTTTTTTAAAAATTTTAACATACAATGTTGTTAATTGATGGTACATCAAAATAGATATAATTGGATGTGCATCTTCATTAATCCTTTCTGATGTTTCTCAATTGGGCGCAACTTAAACCGTCCTGATGGTGTTCTCTTGTTGTCAGTCTAAGTGCTTGCTAAATATATCTTAATTATATTTGATTTTTTTAGGTTCCTTAGAAAGTTTGTGGGAAAGTAAGAAAGGGAAAGTCCTTGGGCATTTTATGAAATTCCTCAACATAGCAAGCAAAACATGATCTTAATAAAACATAAAAAAAAAAAAATCAGAGATTTCAAAGATGAAGAACAAAAGACAAAAAACAAAAAGAAAAAATTGTTATTTTGAAGCTCAAACCTAACTATCCAATCTTCCATCTTTCTCAAACATCTCAACCTGGGAAATATAAAACATGAATCAACAAACCAACCATCATGACCAAGTTTTCCAACTAAGTCAATTATCTAAGGTTCAGTTTGGAAGGAGTACAATATACGGCGCAAATATGTACAAAATAATACAAAATACAAAGTTTTGCACTCTATAAATTTGTATTTATATTCATTCCAAACTGAGCCTAAAATACAGTACAAATCGATGCATTTTTTTTTACTAGATAGGTAGAAAATCTTGGTTAATTTGGCCATACACAAGAATAAGGAAAAAAAAAACAGAGAACCCAAGTCTTTTTCAAATATTTTTTTGAGGGTGAAAATCAGACCCTAGGTCAACCATCATATGGAATTATGGATCAATTTGAAGAGCACATTTGGCTAAGCCGATGACATACTGCTGCTTTAGACAAACGAGACCGAGACTGAATTTGCTCCTCACACAGGGCCTCACATCGACCTCACACGCACATCCTACCATGCATTGGGAACATCTTCCGTACTTATAAGTTATTATTCACGGGAGATGTTCCCAATGTACGGTGGATGTGCCTATGAGATGCCCATGTGTGAAGAGTAGATCCCGTTCCAGCGAGACCATGTTGATGTGGCGTACTCCTATTCGATCTTTGGTTGACGTTGGCAAACACCACACATTTCAAACGAGATAAGGACACATTGTGAACATCAATGCAGCCCAGACTACGTGAAGGTTGGCGCCAATGGCCTTTGTATTCCTTGTCTCGTGGAATGCAACTCACTTCCCTAATGGCTCGATTGTTGGCCACCTCAAAGGCTAACACATATCCCATTTGCGAGAAGCACAAAGACACTTCTTGTTAGACAGTGTATGCCCTTAGCTCCAATTAGATTAATGTACATTAAACATTTATTATAAATGAATAAAAGTACATAATTGATTCATGTTATACTTGGTATGTTTTTGTGTAATTACCCTTAAACTACACACTTATGAGACTGGTGTTAGGTTAGAATGTTCTCAGCCGTTAGATGGACTTGGGGAGGTTTATCCTACCAAGGTTGACACTAATGTGCTGCCAAGTCGGTTGGGGTAGCTTGTCTTAGTTGCCTGGGTTAGACTCGAAGCACATGTAGTGTGTGCTTGTTTGAAACACTGAACCCGGACCAATTTCCAGTT